AAAATAAAAAAAAAATATATATAAAAAAGAGTCCCACCCCACACCACCACACCCCCCCATGGCCTCACCTCACACAACCCTTAACCTCCAACAGCCCCTACCACTCCACCAGCCCCAACCCCACACCATGACCACCACCAGCCCAAACCCCAAACTACAACCACCGTCCACCACCAAAAAATATTAAAATCGAAAATAAAATCAACCACCAAAACAAGTAGATCAATATTCTCCAAAACAGGTAGATCTAAAATTAACCAAAACACATAGATTTACTATTAACCACCAAAATAACGAAAATTAACCCAAAAAAATCGAAACAAGTAGATCTAATATTTCGAATTTCAGTAAAGATAAAAATAAAATTAACCACAAAAATTGTAAGGAACTAAATAATTATACAATTATCCACAAAAATTTATAAACTAATATTACAATTACTCTAAAAATTAACCAAAATCAGAAATTTATTAAAAAATAAAACAAGATCTACAATCTAACCTAAATTAAAACAAAATCTACAATACTTGTGCGGTTGAAGATTCTCGCTACGGTGTGGTGTTGTTGGGGTCGCCTTTGTTGTTTTTCTCGGTGGTGGTGGTGTTGTGGTCGCCATTGCTGTTGGTTGTTGGTGATGACGGTGGTGTTGTGGTCGTCGTTGTTGTTGTTGGTTGTTGATGTTGGTTGTTGTTTTTGGGTGTTGGTGGACGTGGTGAAAGAAGTAGAGAGAAGAAAGAGGCGGACAAAAGTAAGGAAAAAGAAGAGAGAAATGGAAGGAGAAGAGGAAAGTGAAGAGAAAAGGAGAAGAGAAAAGAAGAAGGAGAAGAGCAGCTGAGGACGAAGGAGATCAGAGAAAGAGAAGAGCAGCAGAGAGAGAAAGAGTGGCGGAAATAATAGAAGGGGGAAGGGGCTGCGTTTTAGGGTTTGGTAAAAGGGTTTTAATTTTTTTTTTAAATTATATTCCGACGAAAATTCCGTCAGAAAGCACATATTTTCCCACGGATTATATTTCCGTCGAAAATTTCCGACGGAATTGCTTAATTCGTCGGAAATATTTGACGGAACATAAATCCGTCGGAAATTTCGCTTTTTCCGATGGAATTTCGTGTCCGTCAGAATTTGCCTGTTTTCTAGTAGTGCAACACCGCAACTATCAAAGGGAGAGATAAAAAGATCGAGGGGTGAGAGAAAAAACGGATGGAGAGAAAGGAGAATACCAGAGAGGGAGTAAGAGAGATGGCGCGAAAGGAAAGAAAAGGCATGAGTGGAGAAAGATGGAGGAGAGAGAGAATGGGAAGAGAGGCATGAGTGGAAGAGTGAAAAAGAGTAAGGCATGAACTAGGGTTAACTTTAAACCAAGATCTGTTTTTTTTTTTTTTTTTTTTAAATACCGATGACTTTTAGTGGCTTTTTAATATTTTACCGATGAAAAATAGCCACTAGAAAAAATATACCGATAGCTTGACCATCGGTATTTCTCACGACACCAATGGTTTACCAAAACCATCTATAAATTAAATATTTACCGATAGATTTTTCTAGTCATCGGTAATTCCCATCGGTAAATGAGCGTTTTCTTATAGTGTTCATCGATGTACATACTTCATAGGATAATTGCATAGTATGAAATATTGATAAAGAAGGATTGTGTTCATCGATCATGTTGGTTTTTGTTTTCATCGTATAGATTTTGGTTGTGTTAGCACTAGATCTAGATATAATTGCAAGCTAAGTTTAATTAATAACAACAATTTAATGTAGTACGTATAACTGTATAAGGCATGAATTCATTTGACACATTCGAGCTTTCAATAAATATTTTATTAAAAATTTAATTATCTGTTGACATAGACATGTATTTGAGATATTAGGTGTGAAAATCCTACTTATTACCGTAATTTGTAAGTATATGCACTATTGCTCTTACAAATTTTAAAAATACCTTTTTGGTTGGTCATACAATTACACAACAAGAACTCTAATTAATTAGGATTAGTGAGTTAATTGCCACCCTTTTTGGTTAGAAAAAGACAAGAAGAAAAAGACACACGTCAAGTCCAAAAATCCTGAACGATAAGTACAGAAATGTCGAGTAAAAGTAGACAATTTATAAACCATGACAGTCTGACTATCAACGAGTGAAGCCTACTATTTCGGGGGATCAATAAAGCTAATGCTAGGAATTGATTTACTCGTACAAAAAATGAGATTATATTACTTGTTATCTACTGTATTTTGTTAAAATTGTACACTCAACAATTTGACTCTTACTTCGTAGAAATATATATATATATATATATATATATATATATATATATATATATATATATATATATGACTCTTATAATTGTTGATGCAGAACTTTAATTAACATTTTATCCTAATTTAATTGCCACAATTTTCATTTTAAATTATTCCAAATTAATTGCAGCAAGTTATTTTCAAGTTATCTTAGTTAATTGCAATAAGTTTAACACTATTTACAAAGGTTAAGTTCCTTTTGTAATTTATATGTGAGAAAAAATATAATCATGTAGGATCTTGTTAAATTCATTTTAATATATGTTTTTTAAAATACCAATTTTTCTATAATTATTTCATACTTGTTTTAATTAGTGAAAATATTGTTCGTTTAAAATCATGCACTAATGTACGTGTTTAAACCAAAGCATCAACTACAAATGAAATAGAAAAAGTAAATTGTACAATATATAGTGCAAAAATCGGGTCATTCTACTTATAAGGAGTACTTCCTCTATGTTTTGTAAGTGCCTCATCTAGTCTGATTTGTACGTTTGCTAACACAAAACTTTGATCAATAATATATTCAATTAACAATAAATATAATTATACAAAATCAATATATGAAAAATACAGAGTATACATTCAAAAAATTCTAACAAGTACACTTTCACTATATTTAATTCTACATATAAAGCATAAATATTAATCAAAGTAGAAATACGTGTATAAAAATGTAAAAGTTGATGTGTGACACTTACTAAAACACAGAGGAAATAGTACGAGCAAGAAAAGGAAGGAAATGAAAAGTACTCCCTTAGTCTCATAATACTTGAGACGTTAGAGTGGACATGTAGTTTAAGAAAACTACAAATGGGTCCATTTAAAACATTTGTTTATTATATAAAGGATTCTCTTTTGTATATTTATGTTGTAAAAAAATAAAAAGTGGGGGAGGTGGGGGTAGTGAGGAGAGAGAAAATGTAGGATTTATTTGGGTTTTGGGTAGTGAGGAGAGAGTATATAAAAATATATTTTTATTAGTGGTCCTATTCTATTTTTAGTAACGTATCAAGTATTTTAGTACGATCAAAAATGGTAATTGTGTCAAATATTTAGAAAATATTATGAAAAGACGGTAGTAATAAAGAGAAAGATGGCGGTGAGATGAGAGGGAGATAGGGCGCGCAGGTGCAGGGGTTGGTGCAGAAATGGGTGGCTACTTGTCATTACCATTCACTCGCACTTGGAAAACTCGCGTGCTGTCTAATTTATATATTAAGTGCGGCGTTTTACTGCCAATATATCTAACATTTGGAAGGCAATCAACAATTTCAACAATCTGGGTGGTTTATACAGCACTTACAACTTATATAAAGTAGTTTTATGGTGTTTGGTTGATACCCCACATTTACCTCGATCTTTGCTCTTTTTGCCTCACGCTTCTTACTTCTCATTTTTTTACCTTTCTTTCCTTTTTCTACCTTTCACATTTATGCTACACCTTCTTCTCCCCTATGGTTATAGCCATTTCCTATAGTATACACCCTTTTTTAATTTAAGTATTTCTTGTTTATCTCATTTTGGAGTATTTGGACCATCAACCATGTTTGATTGTTTGGTACGGAGTACTCTACGTATTGTAGAGTTTTGTGCTGTGTATACTCGGTGTATAATACAATAATATTTTTACGCTTGTTTATTTTGATGATATAATTTACTCAATAACATTTTTTACAAGGATCATTAAGGCATTTAAAAGGTTAAAAATTTTCACTTAAAACATACAAGAATTACCTAGGGATGTTGTATATAATATGATAATTTGTAACACCGCACTACATATGCGGAGTACTTAAAGATTTACTCTTCACTCTTTTATTCATAGACTTTGCCCAACGCATATATATTGTCTTCAAAACATGACATATGCAATGAAAATGCATAGGTAATGCTTAGATTTCTTGCTTTTTGGTTAGTTATCTCGTTTGATTCAACGACGGCCATTTACTAATCGTTTGCCTTAATTTATCGGCAATTCATATTCTGCGTGTTAATTTGAATTTCGAAATGAAAGAATTGCTACTTCCCAAAAATTTTGAGTTCAATTCCTGCACATCATAGCAAGTTAATCACTTAATCTTCTCTTAGCTTTAATATTCACAATTCACATAAAATTTGTATTCAAGGCATATGTACATTGATCGCAGTTTCTAATCCCTCCACCCCCATTTTTGTGATTTGTATTACCTTCGTAGCTCATTTAGACCCAAAAAAAAAAACAATTCACATGAGATACAAAATCAGTTAGTGTCAACCAAATAAGTTTATCAAATTCCTAAGAAATACATGATCAAGAAGTTACTTCCTATGAAGTATAAATCACCAGGCCAGAATTTTAATTCCATTCCAAGCCAAACAAGCACTAAGTTAAGATGTTTTATTGATCATCGTTGGGCTTAGAATTGAACCATATGGCATGATGAAAATAATAGTCTAAGTTCATTTATATGAAGGCTAGGGTAGATAATGTTCATTATGTCCTCATATAGTTAAAAAGTTTTCGTTATTACACTTGTTAATGCATAATTTTAAACACCATGCAATAAATAGATCAAACTATTTAAAATTAATGAAAACCATCAATTTTAACCAGTAAAATCAGATGAAGAAAATAGAGCTTAAGATTTTTATTGAATTTTGTTTTAATTTTTTTTTGTATGTGTGTGTTGGGGGGGGGGGGGGGGAGGATGGTTTACTAAGTAATCCACTCAAACAAACAATAATGGAAATTTAAAGGGAATAATAAAAAGTTGATTTATGTTAAATAACTAAGGACCATCCCTCATTCACAAAAACATGGTCCACCCTATAAATAACACCTTCACTCTCCTCGCTCTTCCCGCTTCCATTCCATATCACACTTCCCTCAAAACCACACCCACTTACACAGTTACACTTACATACACAATTACACACACACACAACCTTAAAAAGGCTCCTGAAATTAATTAAATCCATCCCCCAAAAATTCACACAACTTTCTATATTATCATATCCAAGTTTAATTAGTTTGTAATAATTCATCTTTCAAAACGGGTCTTCCGTTGTGGATGCTTGGCTTGGCCGCTGAACAGCTGCGCGCCGATATGAATCGCTTACTTTCTCTCCTCTTCCACCAAGTACGTCCTACCATACATACTTTTTCCGTTTCTTTTTAATCTACACACTTTCCTTTTAAGGCCGTCGTGAATTTTGCTCATATATGTTTATGTACCACGTACAAAATTGGTATGTACGTACATATATTGCCGTTATAATTATAATGTTTAATTAATTTTACGTTTGTTTATATGTTTAGGGGGTGTTGGATGAACAATTCTTACAATTGCAACAACTTCAAGATGAAAGCTCTCCTAACTTTGTTTCTGAAGTGGTCAATATTTACTTCCATGAATCTGAGAAACTACTCCGAAATCTCAGAACTTTTCTGTAATTTTCTCTCTTTTTTATTTCTCTTATTATTTATAAATAATTTTGTTTGAAGAAATGTGTAATTAGTAGTACATTTATGGTTTGATTATTAAATGCACATATATACACCGATTGCATATATAGAAGCTAAGTTTAAGTCTACTACTATACTGTGAAAATCTAATGATTTCACTAGCTAGTTTTAATAGTTTCAAATAGTATCATATTTTACAGTATTTTTACTGTATTTTTATAGGGTTATTGTACAGTATAAGAATCAGTATATTTTACTATGAGAGCGAACGTTTATTAGAATTAGTAATTTAAGGTAATTTTATTTATTTTTTTGATAATTTTTAATTGTGATATTTGAGGTATATATGTAATCTCTTCAATTCTATTATTAATAAGCATTTCTAAAAGAGATGAATGAATAAAGGCTATAAACCCCCTTTCGTGATTAGGTTGATGAATTTGTGCACACAAGTTAAACATTTTAATAGACAACAATATACTTAATTAGTATTGTGTGTTTGCATTAACTAGATAGTTCAAATTACATTGAACATTTAGTTTCTTCCTTTTTTTTTTTAATCATTTTCTTGTAAAAGCTCATAAAGCATCAGGAATTCCCTTTACGTAATAATCTCCTATACGAGTATTAAATTATTTTACACATACGTTCCGTCTAAGTGGAACATTGTATTTCTATACATAAGTACGCTTAAGTATTTCATTTTTTTTAGACAAATGCATAATTAATTCATTATTTGCTAATTTCAAGTCTTTAATCCTCTTCCAAATTTAGTTTTTTTTTTTTTTTTTTTTTTTTTTTTTTTTTTTTTTTTTTTTTACACATTGGACCTTCTATTGTTCATTATTAGCTAATGATTTTTAATTATTCTTTTTTGCATGAAATATGAAAAATAAAAAAAGAATGGATAGAGAATTTTCAGATTACAAAAAAATAGGAATGCATTTGAATCAGTTTATGGGAAGCAGTTCAAGCATAGGTGCTAAAAGAGTTAGAAATGTATGCGTTGCCTTTCGTGCTGCTTCTGAACAAAATAACCGTGCTGGGTAATTCTCTCTCTTCCTTATTTTCGTGACTTTTTACATCTCCCTTTAATTCATTTTCACCTTTTAATAATAGCATGTTTTATTAGTAATAAAAAGATTAAATTAAAGTTATGAAATGTCATTATACTATAATTGTTTATTAATTTCATTATTTAATTAATGATTGATGCATACTCTAATTAATGTATTGGTTTTGTGTTAATCTAGATGTATAAGAGCATTGGAGCTATTGGAGCACGAGTACAGCTATCTCAAGAATAAATTGCATGAACTCTTTCAAGTATGTTGTACTCCGTACTTCAATTCTATTTCATTATTATTTCTCTTGTTTCTATAATTCTATTGTTGATAAAAATTATGAGGAGTTTGGGTGTTTTAACCTCATTATTGGGGGATTTTTTGCTTCGAATAAAATCGATTTTTGTAAGTAATTTGTGTATGTACTATTCTAGTTAAGTTTGATTCATGCTTAGTTTATTTATCACGAATTACATCTTATTTGAAATTGAAGTATAAAGTTCATCCCCCTTCTCAATCTTTATTTCTATAATAAGTAGATGATTACACTTGCAAAAAATAAAAAGAGATTAAATTAAGACCATTAGAGTGTTAGTAGTAGACGTGTAGTATCTTTCAAAAAGAAAAAATAAATAAATAAATTTAGACGTGTAGTATAACCTTTTCTAGAATTTTACTAATTTAGGAATTAGGAACTTCAATTCTTATCCATAATCTTATGCATGCAATGTGAACAGATTAAGTTTACCTAATTGTTTAGTGGTAGGTTAAAATTTATGAGGAGTTTAATTTTTGGTCACTACAAAGGCTACATACATTCTATTTTCGTAACAGATTGGATCAAAATAAAATTCAGCTAGTTCATATAAGTAAAATTCAGTCAAATAAAACATGTTATTAAAATTAAAATCTACCGAACTAAAAATATTCTGACTAGATCAGTTGTAAGTTTAACTTATGTAAACTTGTGAAATTATATTGAAATAATATAGAATACTCGATTGAATAGTCAAAGCTGTACTTCGTATATGTATTCAAATTAAAGAAGCATTTAATTGTACTTATTTGGATATTAATTGAGTTTATTATTTTTAAAATGATGCAGATAGAACAGCAAAGAGTACTAGCAGCTGGGGTGAGGTACCCAATACAACACAACAACAACAACTAGCTAAAACAAAATTTGCATTAAAATCTCACTTATAATTTTCCTTACTAATTTTGATCCCTATGTTTTCAGAATTAGGTAGGGTTTGGTGCCATACCATTATTAGTAATATTGTATGCTTAATTAGCTTATATGAAAATCTTTAATTGCTAATTATGTAATGGGATCAGATCAAATCAAATCAGCAGTAGTTTGTAAGTTTCAATGTTTGTCTTTTTAGAGGCAATTAATGAATGTGCAGTTAATTAATTTTGGGCGGCTATAGTTTTGATTGTTCTTCTGATTTTTGTGATCATCTGAATCTCATTTGAATTGTGTATTTGACTTCTTTTGGCAAAGCAATTTAATGACTGGTACAATCAGTAGGTAAATGTGCTTTTTTGACAATTTTTCACAAATCAATTAAAATTTATAGAAATTTGAGATGATTTATTGAGTAACCTTTTGTCAAATTTCTCTATTTAAAATTAAGTGTGTACTCCCTCTGTCTCTCAAAGTTCATTATGTTTTGATTTTTTTCGAGAAAATCACCGTTTAAATATGGACTTTGTTCGCTAACAAGCGCCCCGGGGCGTTAGATATGGGATAACATATTAATTAAAATAGTATTAAGTTTAGAATGCATGACAAAATCACGCATCGATCGGTGTAATTAATGTTAATTTGACTAAAATATTTCCATATTTAGTTCTCTTATCTAACGCTGCGGAGGCACTTGTTAGCTTTTGCCAAATAACATTAAGAGATGGTGAAATTAGCAATTTAATCATGAATTTGTTCAATGATTTGTGCAAAATTTTCATAGAAATTGATGTTGAATTAAAGTACATGATTTTACATTAGTACTCCGTAGTAATGAATGTAATAAACTCGACCTTTAAGGACTTGATTCTTACCCTAACTTAAAGGGATATCCTTGAAGACACAGTGGTACCACATTTTTTTCTACCCTCACTTCGTGAATAACAATTTTACACAATAACACAAGGGCGGTGATTCTTTAAACAAAAGGTTGAAGATGTCATGCATTTTAGTCTTGTAATAACGATTGTACTGTGGGAAAGAAACAAGTACTAAATGCAGATAAACAAGAAGCACATAGATTTACGTAGTTCACCAACAATGTGTTGGCTGCATCCACAGAAAGACGAGAGGAAAAACTTTATTGATCTTGAGAAATTTCAGACTAATTACATATTGATAATGAATATCATAGATTAGCTATGAATAAACCCTAAATAGAGTATTCTAAATCTTCAATATAATTCAATAACACATGTATAATGTGGAAATATTATTAATATTAGTAAAATGCTATGCATAGCCCTTAGGGTTATGTATAAGAAGATAAAAGACGACAAAAGTATCAATGAAATATCTTCATTAATTACACTAATTTGCGTGTGATTTTGTCATACATTCCTAAACTTATACAGTACCAAATAAGAAAAGATATTTAATACGTTAGCCCAAATAGAATCTAACGAAACTTACTTGACAAATATAATTGAAAGCTTATTTAAGGAGTGTAATAAATCAATATATATAGTAGTACACTAGTACATAGGAGTTTTGTTTTTTTATTCTTACTTTTAAAACAATTAACAAATAATAGTGATGAATTTTTTTTATTCAACAACCATTATTATGAAAATCAAACCTACGTTTAATTTTGATTATATTTATATTTTTTCTAACCTACATTATATAATTTAATTTGAAAACCTATTAAGTCGTTATGTATTTTTTTGCCCACCATCATGTTTTTTAATTTTGAAAATCCGGGTATTTTAAGAATATGATGTACCGGGTGCATCTAAAATATTGCTGCTATGTGCCTATTTTGATTGACTAAATTCCTAAGCCCACTACTCGGATTTTTTTTTTTAATAGTCATGTAATTTGGGCCAAACTTGTGGTATTGGAATCGGAAATTGTTTTGAGAAAGCAAGACCGTACCGCAGCTCACAAATTTTTAGCTACACACTTGTGCAGTTAAGCTAATTGCAACAACTATATATATGAATATATAATACTTCAAAAATGAATATACGTTTTTTCTCCCTTCCTTATATTTACCTCTCTCTCTTCTTCTTCCTTACTCCATTAATTTTCTCTCTCTGTTTTCTTCTTCATTCAAAATTTTTTCTTTTTTATTATTATTATTATTATTATTATTATTATTATTATTTTCCTTTCCTTATAAGTAAATTTTTTTTCTTACCTCACTTTTCTTTAATCTTTAAACTTCCTTATCCTCCTATTTTAGATATTCTCCAATTCCTCACCATGGTAGCATTCTCCATCATCTTCGTCGCGATTGTCGCCATTTTCTTTTTTTCCTTTGTTTACTACATTATTATGGATTTGGTTGTTATTCAAAAGAGATCATCAATGCAGGTTAGTTTTGTGTTGTTGGTTTTTAATTAGGTTAGAGTTGGGCTGAATTTGTAATTGATTTTTATGATTTTATAATTGGTGAATTTCAATTGACTTTTTGATGAATCTAGTGAATTAGACTATTTCAACTGAATTTTTTTATGAATATTAATTTAATTAATGAGTTTTTGTGATGAATTATTAAGTTGTTGCATCTTTAATTTGTTTGTTATTATGAATTTCGTCTTTTTTTTAATTGAGTTGCTAATATTAGTGTATATTGGAAAAAAAAAAATGAACATAGTGTACTTTAAAATTGAACATTTAGTACAAAATGAACATCTAGTACATAAAAATGAACATTGAGTACATAAAAACTGAACATATTTTAATGATTTATTTTATCTTTATTTTCCATTAATAATTATATACAATGAATTTGAATTTATATGAGTATAAGAAAATCATGTTCATTTTTAATATACTAAATGTTCATAATTTTTTTTTCACGTATTCATTTTTTTTATACTAAATGTTCATTTTCTTTAATATGTTCATATATTTTTATGAAATGTTCATTTTATTAGGTGTGGTCCAGCTATTCTAGTATTATATGATAAATGTTCACTTTTAATATATTAATGTTCATAATTATTTTTGAAATGTTCATTTTTTTGTTTATTACTGAATGTTCATTTAATTTTACGTGTTCATATTTTTTTAGGACATGTTCATGTTATAGACAGTGGTGTAGCTATTCTAGCTGCACTAGAGTGAGATTTATTGGACCACATCCTTCTATTGGGCTTAAAGCCATCAATCAAAATGGGCCTAAATCAGTCTTGGCTATTTTGGGCTATTCACTCGTACTAGCTAGCCCATTTTCGTAAGATTCTTATATTCGGTAACATTTTTTTTTTCTCCAAAAGATGGATCATTTTTAAGGTGATAGTTAATCAATAGTTGATGATTTGCAAATCTTTATTCACACGCCACGTTCTAGTGCAAGTATTTTCTTCAATTTTTTGAAATTCCATCAAAGATAACTTTTTTTTTTTTTTTTTTTTTTTACGAAAGATAACATATATTGTGCTAATGCTATAAGCACTTTTTTTTTAAAAAAAAAAAATAAATAAAATTATTACGAGTACTTAGAAACCGTGAAAGGAATACTAAAAGAATAAAGAAAACTAATAAATAGATACATTTAAAAGCTAATAAATTGATTAAATTGGAGGTGATAATTGAAAACTGAATTGTAGCCTTTTTTTTTTTTTTCGTTCTTCGAGGGGATAAATTTAAGCTGATACTAACTGAAAGGTAAAAATAATGAAACACGGTAGCTAAAATACTTCATACTGAGATTTAAGTGGGAGTAATGTCATACATCTGTGTGTATATATGTTGTGCAAGATTATGTATATACACTCCTTTCGGAATAGCTGTTATAAAGCACTTTATTTGTTATGCTTGAGTTAAACAATTAATATCACCTAATGTTGAAAAATAAAACCTTCTATTCCGTAATTGTCAACTACTCTGTAGTTCGTAGTTATGGTGTGTTCTATTTACCTGATTTTCACTTATTTAAACTTATTTAAGTTTAACTAAACTAATCTGAATTTAACTGAACTTATCCGAACTTAACTGAACTTATTACAACTTATTTTAGTTGTAATTTGAACTTGAGTAAATTTTATCAGAACTTATTTTTTCTGAACTGAACTTATTTTTTCTGAACTGAACTTATCTGAATTATTTTTCCTAAACTGACTTATCTTAACTTATCTTAACTAGAGCTGTCAAAAGCTGACCCGACCCGAAATATCGAGCCGAACCCGATATGACCCGACCTGAAACCAACCCTAGACCCGAGTTAACCGGAGTATTTGAGACTCGAACCCAAACATGAACCAACCTAGAGATGACCCGACCCGAATATAACCCGTAAAATATTGACTTAAACCGCATCCGACCTGAACCGAAATTGACCCAAACCCGTTTTAACCCGTCAAAACCTGAATTTAACCCGACCTATTCCTAACCCGACCCGAGTTTAACCTGACCTATTACTAACCCGACCCGAAATTCAACTCTATCTGTCACTAACCCGACCCGAAATCAACCCGACTTGTTATTGACCCGAAATTAACTAGTAATCTAGGATTACGTCATATCTTTTTTTTTTCCCTAATTCTATGAGTTATTTTCCTATTTAAGCTTATTCAAATATTTTCAATAAAATTCTCTATTATCAAATGTATTACAATTTATATGTCTCAAAATAACCTGTAAAAATTTATGAATACCACTACTTTTTGGATGCATGTGCATTCTTTATTTAAATTTAGTAATTACGATTTACGAATACTACTGCTTTTTAGGTGCAAGTTCATTCTATATTTCAATTAAGCAATTATGGTTTACGAATACTACTACTTTGTAGGTGCATGTGCATTAATGCAGCCAATTACGGTTTACAAATACTATTTGACCTTAGGCTTGTTTATTTTATTTTATATTTTATATAAAAAAATAAAACTTCAAATAAAAAAAAGTTAAAAAAATAATAATTTCGGATAATGATTGCATTAATGAAAAAACTCATATACGCAAAAAATCTCAAATATCCTTGATCATGAGACATATAATTATCACTATAAATAAGAACCAGAATTGCAACAGTAGTTATTAACATTGACATAATAGAAGTAAGTGGATCTATTAAGTAGCCAAATTCTAAAGAAAAATCATTATTAATCGTCCAAGACCATAAATATTGATAAATAGAATCATTATTTATTTGTTGAATAGCCAGCTTCATGGAAAAAAGCATAACTATACTTAATAACAAAATACTCGAAAAAGCCCATA